AGCTGCCATGTGGCTCCCCGTCTTGCGGGGGTGAGGGGAGCAGGCTGGGATACAGATGCAGCTTTGTGTTAACAGATGCGCTCTCCTGGTAGGACAGAGCCCAGGCACTCAGCGCCTCCCTTCTCCTTCATCTGAATCCACCCAGGGATCCCCCCTTAACCCTTCTCCCTCTTAAATCCCCAACTTCCTCTTCAAACTCTGTATGTGGCACAAAGCTCAATAAATGTTGAATGAATGGATGGATGGATGAATATACGAACGCTCCTCAAACCTGTGTGACTCCCCAGCCCTGTTCCCGCCTCACAGACCATGATAACTCTGCAAGCCCCTTCCTCTGCTTTGCTTTCTACATACTCCCTCAGGGCAGTTTCAACTCTCACCTATATGCTTCTAACTCCTATATCTCTTTCCAGCCCAGACCTTGCCAGCTACCTGAATATTCCTCATGCCCCTCAAATCCAACAGGCCCCATATTACATTCCTCAGCAACCACGGCCCCAGGGCTTTTCTAGCAGTGAGTCCTGGTCTGTCCAGGGAGTGGGGGAGGGAAGGACTTGCTGTATGCCCCCTGGCAGGATAGAGGCAATGAATATATCAGCACAGTCATGGGGCAAACTCCTGTTCCCAGGGCCTCTCTTCATTCCTCTTAAGAATCACACCTGCCGCACACCCATAAGGAAAGCCAAGTTGGGAACCTGGGTGGCTAACTGCCCAATCTGGACTTCTAAGATTGGGACCAGGCAAGTCGTTTCAGCAAAGAGGAGTCCTTGGAAAGGAACCAGTGTGTACTGAGGAGTTATTTCTTCTCCAACGCTCTCCATCCAGACCTCACTCTCATTGCCTGGCAGTCCCGGTACCGCCCAATCCCACCCCTGCCATTCCTCACCCAGTACACACACACACACACACACACACACACACACACACACACACACAGCCCTCCCCTCACTCCTCAGCTCCATTCCTCTTCATTCTGGAGCCCTGTCCCCAGGCTCACTGCAAACCCCCAGGTAAATACTGAACCAAGATTGGTGGAGACTGGGGATTTCATTCCATCAGGCCAGTGCTGGAGGGAAGACTCAGTGTTTACTGAGAGTCCACACTCAAATTCTTTCCTGGCCTTGGCAAGGATAAGAGCAAATAAAGCCCCCCTTTCCTTCAGGCCCTCCTAGACTTGGACAGCAGCCAAAGGGACGGGTTACAAACACAGTGGCCTTTGGTTCCTGACAGCCTCAGGGCCTATGAAGGCAGAATCCAAGTTTCTTCCTTCTTTCCCAGGGGGTCCTGAGTACCGTACACTGAGACAAATGCAAGGTGTGGCTATACCCAGCTGTGTTATGGTCACATCTAGGCATTTTCAGGTTTTAAAGCAAAGTGAAACCTTTATCACCAATTTCAGTCAGACATGCAACATGTGAAATACTTTATTTAAAGCATTCACGTGTTTAATCTCAAATGAATTTTAAATTCATTTGTTCATTCAGCAAATATATATTAAACATTTCAAAGAGCTGTAAACCATGGTTCCTGCCTTCATACTGCTCCTATTCTAGTTGGGGTGGGGAGCTACATACAAGGTTAACTGACAGTACAAGACCATGCCATGTCCCCTCCCATACCTGGTGTGGCCTGTGTGACTCTTGCAGTCCCTCTGGCAGTACTGAAATTTTCTACTCTATTGCTACTCTCACGACTATTGCTCTCTCCTCCAATATAAGACAGTGGTTAAATGTATCTCCAGGGTGGGGTGTATCTCTGGGTTCATACCTGAGTTCTGCCATTCACTATCTGTGTGACCTCAGCCAAGTTACTCAGCCTGTCTGAGCCTGGTGCCTCCTCTGTAAAATGAGGACATTAATAGTACCTACCTCACAGAGTTACAGTGAGAATCAAATGAATTAATATACACAGTGCAGTAAGAATGATACCTAGCACATAATAAGTGCTCAATAAATGTTAGTAATTATTTTCCTGATGCACGTACTGTCCCTTGTTACCACCAGAGGTTACAATTCTTATTGGGCTTCCAAAAGAACCTCATAGAGGCCTTATTCATTCATCCATTCAATCAATAAATCCATGTTGGGCATCTACAAGCTAAGCCTGGGTCATATAGACAAATAAGGCACAGCTCCTGCCTTTGGGAATAAACAATTCACTCAGAGTAATGCTGGCTTACCAGTGCCCTGAAGCACCTGGAAGAAGCAAACACAAATTCTTCCTGGAGGAATACACCCTCCATCTGGTTCCAGATTCCCATGGATAGAGTCTGGCCGAACATGAACTCATAACCCAAAATTACAAAGCACACCATGAAGCCAGAAACAACAGAAACAGAATCAGATGCTCCAAGATTGAGATATTGCAATTATGTGATATAAAATATGTATTTTTTTACATTTTAGGTGCATTAAAAAACAAGAGGATTTTAAAAACATTAGCAAAGAACGAGATAGTAGCAGAAAATAGAGGAAGTATCATCTTTTTATAGATGTGGCAAAGCTAGTGCTCCGAGAAGGAAGTGACTCCTTCAGTGTTACACAGCTAATCACAAGGGACTCACGTCAGCCTCTCAGTGTCTAGTGTTTTATTGTCAGACTCGGTTACTGGGGCTGGGCCATATTTTCCCTGAGTCAGTCAATGAGTGAGATGAGCACAAAGCGCTGTGTTCGATCTGTAGAAATGACAAAGATGAACAAAAGAGTGTCTCTGCCCTCAAGTAGCTTAAAATTCAGTACAGAGACGTGACTACACACAGCCATAACCATGGCTCTCAGGCTGTGTGGTAGAAGCTACTGTGGTCTGGAATGGTAGGAGGTCCCTGCAGGACAGGGAAGGGGTGGATCTGTGGGCAAGAGGAGCTTTGGAGTGGTGACAGGGGTAGAGGAGACTGGGAACAGCCTGACCAACGTCATGGAGAAAATGAGGCCACACAGCAGTTCAGGGAATGGTGAGTTCATTTGGCTAACACGCTGGCTACATGCAGGGGCAGACCTGTGCCCGAGCACAGGACGCTGCACTCACAAGGGCCCCCTGCTTCGTTGAATGTGCTGCTGTTGCTGTCCTGAAAGTCTTAATAATTTTTTAAAACGGGGCGCCACGTTTTCATTTTGCCCCAGGGCCCACCCACCAATGATGTAGCCAGTCCTATATAGGGGGATGGGGAGAGGCATGACTGGAAAGACAAGGCACTCTTGGGAAGGGCCTTGAATGCCACTCTGATATCTGCTCTGCAGACAATGAGGAATCACTGAAAGTGTTTGAGAAGGCTATGGTGACTGTGGTTTTTAGAAAGCCACGTGGTGGGGTCGGGGGGCGTGTGACAGATGGATTGGAGAAAGGAGAGATGGTGGTTTGTCAGGAGACTATTGCAATAAAGCAACGGGGGTCTGGACCGCAATGGTGGCAGCAGACATGGAGAAGGAAAGGGTCTTCACTTTATTCAGTTATCCACTCTCCAGATGTCTACTGAGCACCTGACACGTGCTCAGTAATAGGCACGGTGCTAGGGGCTGGGATTCAGGGATGCACATGAGGAAGGGTCCCTAACCCAGACAGGGGATTCCGAAAAGATTTCCGCAAAGATGTGATATCTGAGCTGTATGTTGAAGGTGGAGTAGAAATTCACCCCATGGACAAGGCACAGACAGGCAACCCAGGAACAGGGCACAGAATATGTAATAGCCTGCGACATCTACTGTGTGCCAGGCACTGTCCTAGAGGCTGATAATCCCTGTTCTCAGGCTGGTAGGGGAAGCAGAGAATAACAAGACGATGGGGAACGTGCTGTGATATAGATGCTGTGGGAGTATCTAGATGCAGGGGAGAGGCATCTAATGCAGACTGGGGAGGTCAGGGAAGTGTCTTCTGTAGAGGTGCCTTCTGAGCTGTAGACAAGAAGGTGTCAGCTAGGTGAGGAGGGGGAGGGCGGAGGGCCGGGGCCGGGGAGAGCTGCGTGCAAATGCCCAGAGGTAAGAAAGAGACTGTCTGTGGCCTCAGAGAATTGTAAATGATTCCCTATCACTCGATTCTAGAAGGAGCATAGGAGGAGCAGGGGGAGATAGGACCAAAGAGATAGGCCTTAAATGCCAAGCTAAGGAGTTGGGACTCCATCCTGGAGAACAGTAGTCCTCATCCTTGACTGCATACTGAAATCACCTGGGGAGCTCTGAAAAAACACTGATGACTAGCTCCCACCCCCAGGGACTTGGATTTAATAAGCCAGTGGGGGAGGCGTTGGAATGTTTAAAAGCTCCCCGGGTTTATTCTAATGAGCAAGCAGAATCGAGAACCGGGGCTTTAGGGTGGGAGGCCTCAAATTTGAGCCCTCATCAGAATCACCCGGAGGGCTTGTCAGACACGAATTGGGAAGGGGGTGTGGTACTCCGAGCTTCGGATTCGGTAGGTCTCTAAGAAGTACCCACTCTAACAGGTTTTCAGAGATGCTGTTGCTGCTGGCGCCACGACCACACTTTGGGAGCCTCTGGTCTCAGGTATTGTAAAGTCAGTACCACTTCAGTGGAGGACGGGGTGGGAAATGGTCTGATCTGCATCTTGGAAAGATCGCTGGGGCCACTGTGGGGAGAATGGTCACCGAGGGGAGAAAGAGAGGTGAGGAACCAGGAAGCTACTGAAGGAATCAAGGCAAGAGAAGACGGCGAGGGAGTCCTAAACTAAATAAAGCACTGGCAGGGGGAATGGAGAAAATGGATCAAATCTGAGGTCCGCTTAGAAAGTAGGCTTGGCAGGGCTTAGTGACAGGCTGAATACAGAGGTGAGAAATCAGGATGTGGGAAAGACAACTCTTGGATTTTTGCCTTGGGCAACCGGTGACTCTGATTGTACTGGGCATGCTGGTTACTGTAATCAAAGGCTAAAGGTGTTACCAGACCTGGGGCGGGAGGTTGGGGAGGGGGGCATTTCTGCCCTCAAATTGCACAGGAGTAGTCCCAGGGAATTTAACAGGCATCTCTCACTGTCCACTGAACCCCTGCTTTCAGCACCATGAGTCCTCACCTTGACCCTAAGCAACCTGGGATTCTCTTCAAAATACCTGGAAAGGAAAAGCAAGACTGTGATCACCCCGACATGATTGACCAGCCGCCGGAGCCCCAGGTACAGGGCCTGCGCCTCTGCTATTACCCCAGGTGTGTTTCATTTACTTGTTATTTTTAATATGTATAGGGCTGTTGCCTAGAAGGGTTTTTGAGATATTCAGAGGCCACATTTCACACACAGGTAAAGAATTCATAACCTGCTCTTATATAGCCATGGAAACAAATGTAGCTTAAAGGGCAGCCTGCAAAGGCATTCATTTGGCGTGGATTTGAAATGTGTAAAAATGAGCAATTTTCCAGTGCATCATCGGTCGTGACTACTTGTTAAGTCTTCTCCGTGGGCAAGTGGAGTGCCAGCAATCAGCACGACCAGGACCATGATGGATGGGATAATTGTCCATTAGAGTACAGATAATTTTTGTACCGTGGGAGGGTTCGACAGCATACAGACATGATAGATGGAAGATGAGCTAGCTAATGTGATAGGAGTGGCAGCTCCATCTCTGGTAGTAACCATTCTCTGGCTGAATCGATGATTAATCAAAGACACTTTCTCATTTGAAACTCTTCGCTCACCGGTGCACAACTCCCGCTTTGGGTTAAATTTAACAGCATCATTAAAAACTGCTGTTCAAGAAACTCAGATTACTTTTGCCCAGAAGAAATCATGCCGCACTAGAGAGTGCTTTTGTGAGCTCATGGGCAGGGGCCACAAAGGGGGGGTGTGCCTGTGTGTAAACGTTTAACATTGGAATCCTCAATGCTTAGCATAGGGGCCGACACAGGGCACTCAATAAATGTTTGTTAAAGTAAAGTGAAATGAATTAATACGTTTGTCCATTCATTCATCTGTTTATTCCTTTAACAGACATTTATTAAATACAGGAATTAAGAGCTCTGGCCCGGGAACCAGATGCTCCAGGCTTCCAATTCTAGCTCCCACCAGCTGTATGAACTTGAACAAGTTACTTAGCCTCTCTGAGCCTGACGCCTCCTGTGGAAAATGGGGGAAACTATAGCACTTGCTCTCATAGGGCTGCTCGAGGGTTAAATGAGTTAGTGTCTGTAAGTGTTCAACACAGGGCTTGGCCCATAGTAAATGCTCACTAAAGGGCAACTGTTATATCATTATCATCATTGTTATATATACTATGGCTAGGCCTTTCTCAAGTAACTAGGTCCATATAAGAGGCCCAGAATCTCTTAAGAAATGACAGGGCTCTTGGCCAAAGCTGGCTTTCATTAAAGTGGTTATTTATGGTTTCCAACCCAGGGCCCGACTGCCCTAGGCCTGCCAGTCCTGGCCTGGTGCCCTCCTGTGGTGGCTCAGGCTGTCTCTAGGTGGGGAGTGCTCTCTAGAGAAACCTGAGAAATTGCGGAGCAGGAAGGTGAAGGAGGAAGGTAAGGGCTGGCGGGGATCCAGTTAACCATCAACATGCAACCGCTGCCCCGCCCCCAACATTGTTAACTCCCTTGGGTGTCTTTCTGCGCTTTTGTATAGCTCTTCCTGGCAACATTTCTACCTACTAATTGCTATTTCGAATGTTTATCCTCTTGGCTTGGTTGAACAAGACTCTCCTTGATTTTAATTTTAATTTTAAGGCAACAAAGTAGAGAACCCTTGCCTTGGAGTTCAGTCAGGAAGTAAGGGAGGCGATGCAACTTAGCGGCTTGAGATGATCTGGAGATAGAAACGATTGGCCACTGAAGAGCTGTGTGACCTAAGGCATATTGCCTACCCTCTCTGAGCCTCAGCTCCAGAAAAGGGAACGAGAGAATAATGGTCGTCGAGACTAAATGGGGACCACTTAGGACTGTGCCTTTTTAAAATTTAATTTAAGTTTTACTTTATATTGGAGTATAGTTGATTTATGCAGATCCTTCTTGTTCCTTATTCTCACGATTAAACTAGCCCAGCCTCTTTCAAGCCTTTTACAGTCCCCCGTTTACACACTGTAGTATACGAATTACAGGTCATGCTCGTTTTCCACATCAGGTAAATTTAATACATTTAAATGTGTGCTTCCCATATCTGTCTACCTGGAAGGTCTTCTGAACAGCTCGAGATCTGATACGTGCTCAATAACCGTTGGGTGAATGTTGGTAGTTGAGCTAGCAATCAGTAACCCACCCTAGTGGTGTATGTCTTCCATCTCCCAGGTGGCATTCCAAGCAGCACACAAAAGTGGAATGGGGGCTTCCCTGGTGGCGCAGTGGTTGAGAGTCTGCCTGCCGATGCAGGGGACGCGGGTTCGTGCCCCGGTCCGGGAAGATCCCACATGCCGCGGAGCGGCTGGACCTGTGAGCCATGGCCGCTGAGCCTGCGCGTCCGGAGCCTGTGCTCCGCAACGGGAGAGGCCACAACAGTGAGAGGCCC